CCAATACACGAGCATCTGAATATGATATTTCTATCGCTTTCCCTTTCTCTGTCGTCATTAAAAGTAAAACCCCAGCAAAAAATTAGCCAATCAATGGGCATGCTCTGGAGTACGGGTAACTAATACCTGCACTCCAGTTAACACACTGTCCATGTACATGTTAACGATTTAACTCTTACACTACACATTTTAAACAGAAAGGTACCCAAACTATAAAATAAATGTTTATTTAAATGTTCGACGCCTTTAACTGTTCTTATTATTTTTTCTTCTATAAATTGTTAGTATATTAAGTATAAATAGTAAGTAATACCTGCGCCTGTGATTGTAACACTGATCAAAGAAACGATCATCAAAGTTAAAATTAAACCTCTCATGCTATTGCCTGAAATATTAAAAACTATTTCAATATAAGGAAATATGAAGAGCATCTTACATAGACTAATACTCGTGTTTTGAGAAATGAGGAAATTATTATATTTTTTACACTCAAACCACACAATAACATCCAAAATTCTAACATCCATAATTTCTATCTAGAACGACTATTATGACCACGTATGTAAATAGAAGTGGATGTTAGTAACTGATATTCAAAATATACAGTTTTATACTCGTAAGCTTAAAGTTACGTAAATATTCATAGATAAATGTATTAAACAAATTATGTCTACATTTCCTTAGAATGTAATTGACATGTTAAACTTCTTTATATATTTAATATATTTACCTACCATGCATAATTTTATATCTATAGAAGTAAAGTAGGCTAAAACTTACCGTTTTATGTTTCACCTGTTGTCGTGATAACAAGCAGTCTAATGCAAATTTGTATTTTAAATGTGGTTATATAGCATGTCAAATTGACAATGGTAAACAGGATTTAATAAGTGCAATGTGTGACATGATGTACAACAAAAACCAACCAAGCTCGCTAAGACACTCATTGGTCAACTCATCAAAACGGAAATTTAAAGCTGCATGTCTCAAGATGATTAAAATATTTCAACAAAACTTGAGAAAAATGTACAAAGATTTCAGGAAAAAAAAGTAGATGAATTTCAGACTCAAATAATAATTTAATAGATGTTATGTGCAATTATGCAGTATTTATAAGTTTATTCATACTGTGTTACTACTGTAGTAAAGGGAATGTAAATGATTTCCTTTTTTTGGTTACTTTACAATACAATATTATACTCTTAGATGCATACTTCAAACTTTTCATTAAAAATTAAAATTGATCTGGAGGCATGCAGCTTTAACGGCGTAAATTTACTTATCAATAATTAACATAACAAACAAAAGGAGTGTACTTCGTAGGTTTCACAATATATATTTCTTGATACAAATGACGTTTGAAAACATCATTATCGAGTTAGATCCGTTCATTTTATGTATTATATACACATCGTTTTAGTTTCGATTTAAAACCATTTGCATTCGTCACAAATGTTACAAATCATCTTTATGACTTTTTGTTTTCTTAAATGTTAAGCTTTAATCACATTGCTTTGTATGAATTGATCTTCTTTTGTCTACATGCGAAACTGATCGTAAGTTTTGGCCTTGCAGCTGATTGGATATTTCGAAAAGTTATTTGAAACAAACCAAATTGTTATTGTTGCTTTTTTGTTTGTTTTCTTTTTTGTTGTTGTTGTTTCTTCTCTTTATTTTCTTTTTTTTCTATTATTTTCTTTTGCATTTTACATTTTGCATTGTATCAATTTTTTGTTGTTGTGTATACGATATATCGCACTGTCGTCGCACATTAGGTGAAATGGGAAAAATACTTGATCTGTGAAAATTATACACTATCTAAACTCTTGACAGTTCTGTTTGTGACAAGAATATTTGACTCTATAATAGATTAGGATACCTCGGGGCGGGCACAATTGTAACCATTTAACATATTTGTAAGAGTATCATTAGAAGAATGAGCATACCAGATTTATAAGCTTAAGCAATTTCGCTTTCGGAGAGGATTCCTTTTTTTTAGATTGCACTTGTTCCTATTTTATCTCCTTTGACAAAGAGATATAATTGACTGTTACTATTTGCACAAACATTGAATAATTTCATTCAAGAAACATTTGTGTCAAAATCAAAATTGATTTAGTCTGTACATGAGGGATAAGGAAAACATCTCTCACTTTCCCTTACACCGGCTTGAGCGTTACTAAATTTTCAACACTTAAAAATTGCTGTAACCAAAGAGCCCGAATGACCATAATGATATAACAACACTCAAGTGAAGTGACCCTTTTACAGCTGCCACATAGCACTTGCCACCTGTAAAGTAAAATCATCTCGAGAAAGTGTCATCCCTCAGAAACATTAATAACAAAATCACATGGAAATTGAAAAGTTTCATAAAAATCATGTGATTTTTAAGACATTGTCATTTGAATAAATTGCGGACGGACAAAGTTCTAGCATTTTTGGTGTAAAAGATTTTTCTGTTATCTATATGTGGCATTTTTGTCAAGAGAACAGTAGAATAAGCACATGAAACGGCGGTGTGTGTACTAGTAGTCTGTTTTTGTTGTTTCCTTCTTTCTTAAAAGTGTTCTTTTTAACGGAATGAATCTCACTAACTATTGCAAGTTGTCCGAACATTGCTTTGCACAGTGTCTCCAAAAAATCAAAGCAGTAGAACAAGATAATGATTTATTTTTTATGAATCATAATTGCAAATATCCTTCGAATGTCTAAATTTGCTATATTTTCCGTTAAAAAAACTATTCAAGGGTCCTTTGCCAGTCTATTTGTACAGATTTACGATTACCCGGACGTTTTGTACAACCAATATAATATATCTTAATTCAATATGTAAATGGACTATATCGATATTTTGACGGTTTCGTTATCGCACAATGTATAAATTATACAAATTAAACATTGAGACCCGACCATGGTCCAGTCTTAAACAAATAAATTGCTTTTAATAGATAATAAAGGAAACGATTAAATCAAAACTATTATTTTTATCAGTTTATAAAATCTTTGTTAAAATACAAACAAGTGCTGAACGTTAATAAAAACTAATACATTCCAGTGACGTAAATAATGAAATGAATTCAAGACAAAACATCTACTAGTTTCGACTTTAATACATCATCATAAGATAACACCATATCGAATTTTTATCTCCTTTTTGATGTCTAATTGGTCTTTTCGGAATGTATTAAATCATGTGTGGTTCAGATCTCCTGCTTCAAATCTGTCCATCTGTTTATCATGGCAATTTCACAAATCTGCTGCAATTTCACAATTTCGTCACATGTTTCCCATTTTGTCACAATACAACATGATTTCAAACATTCTTATATCTGATATCTGAAATTATGCTTCGACGATTTCATCATATCTCTGTAAATCTTGTCAAAATATTCGTTCTGAGCGATTGTAAACCAGTTCTTCCAGTCCCCAACGTCTCCTGAAAACATGAGTTTTATTAATTGATATTTTTGCTATAATTTGATATTCATCATCATCTGATAGTAGTTCGTTCAGGGTATTTTTGGTAAAGTGACATTGTGACAAGTACAAGTGAAAGTCGAAATAAGTTTTCACTTTGCCATAATTCCTTTCAATTTAAGAAACTTATTGGCATAAACGATTTATAACTGACATTGACCAAGAAGATGTCTGTGAATATCCAACAGTTTTTAACTGGAAGGATTAGTTTATAAAAAGAGCGGGGCAATTGTTTTTATACTTTAGGCAGTGTTTTTCTTATCCCAAACCTCCCCAATATTTTCCAATATTAACTATTTGTACATCACCTTATCAACAGTCAATCTTTTGAAATATATAGTGAATTCAGCTTAAAGGCTCAACTTGACGACGAAAAAAAGCCAAATGTCACTTTAAATGTTTATTGAATTATACAGACATTAAGTGTATAAAGTTATTTATCTGCTGCCAAAGTTATTGCTTGGATTTAAAAAGAATACTTCCAAAATGTTTGTAATATTAAATATGGTAGAAAATTGTCTTGCGTTAAAAAGAAATTACTGTTAATGGGTTAAAACCATGGTAGAATAATATTTTGTTTCGGAATATTTGTTATTTTCATACAATATTCATGTGTGTTACGTAACATAGACATTTTATATTACAACATTTTAAGGAATCGACAAGCAGATTTTGGAACCAACAAAATTTTAATGGTGATAAACTTTACAAATATATTTAATAAAGATAAAGTCTTATATCCTTAACTCTAAATCGTTTTGATTGTCAAACTAATTCGAGTAAAACACTTAAAATTTATGATTGGAAAAAAATTGTTTTATATAAACCGCGGCGCGGGAGTGAAATAAAGCCATTCAATAAAAACGATATTACACTAGTGTAAAACACTTTGACGTGACGTCATTTGCATTATATATAAACATAGCGTTAACAAAATTTAACTTAACAGTTTACCGTTCGTATGTATATTATTTGATTAATGATATTCGAGTAGAACTCGTTTAATTAAACAATATTTTTCTCGCCATTTGATTTTATTCAACTCGTTCAATAAATTTAGTTTAGACCTTCTTTCATTCAATATCATCTATGCTTTTCTTCTTTTTTTTAAAATACAGAATCAATTTCAGAACAAAACATAAAATGACTTAAGACTGGATTACCACGACTTTTAACCATTTTGAAATGTCTCAATAAAGCAAGAAAATATTTGTTTAATCATACTTGATTTGAAATTCTTGCTGAATTTCTGAAATTTTTACTGATAAAAATGTTATAGTATTGAAGACCTGTTTTCTGTCACAAACCTTTCCTATAGAATGTGAAACCCTCTATTGGATCTTGTGGAAATAGATACTTCTGTTTATCTTTTGCCATATTTTCAAACTGACATTTTTCACTTATGGCTTCAAAAAGACCGCCCGTGTCCTCTACGCCAAGAAATTTACCAAGTCGTCTTACTTCCCGAAGAGTGTTCTGCATTTGTAAAGGAGATAAACTTGTTTAAGCAATTGGTTACTAAATAAATTGTTTTAATAAAACATTTATGTTAATTAAAAAACATCTTCTGGAAAATTATATTTTACGTGTTGTTGAAATACAAAGTGTATAATTTTATTTAAATGCACACTAATTGCAAACACATACGAGACTTATTTTATTGATCAACTATTGCATAAAATATCATCTAAAACTTATCTCGCAGACAAACCTGGTTAACGATAGAACTACCTCTTTCAGATAGATTGATCTATCGCTTCTTCCGAGCTAGTGATGTCGCTAAAATCAGGTGTCAGCAAAGGTAAAGGGTTGTCATTTCTTATATATTTTTATAAACTCAACAACAATTATCGACTTTCGGAGGATGCTATACCATGTAGATATGATTCTAAGTTTCTAAGAAGCGTAAAGTTTGTACATTTTTGTGTCGCGGCGTTTACGAGTTAGCCAATTCAGCGTTGCAATGGTGAAACGGTCCATTTCAACGCTATGTTTGCTAACTTATAAACGCCGGTACAACCACATTTCAAACGAAAGTTTAAAAACCTTACGTTTTTTCTAGAAATTTTAATCATATGTACATTGTATAACATTTTTGATATTTGGTCTACAGTTTACAAAATGTTTAGAAAATGACAACATTTTACCTTTGTTGACAACTGAATGTAGCGACATGCACTAGCTCGGAAGTAGCGATAGAGCGATTTACCGTTTACCTCCGTAAGAGGTAGTTCTATCGTTTACCAGGCGTGACAGAATTAAGTTCATGATTTCTACCTATCAAATCATAGTAAGGTATTCGTATCATTACCTCCTTCAGATCCTCATAATATACAAGATGTACTGGAAGGTTGGGTGAGGTCGACATTTCTTTCTCCCACTCTAAGACATACTCAAACCAACTATTGTATTCCGCTGATAAACAAATATAAACTTGTGCCAACATTGTTGTCATTTCCAAAGTCAATAAAGTACAAAATAAATCCATATCACACACATTATAGCCCCGAGTTAAAAAAATATCAAATGCTTATTGTAATAAAAAAGAAAGTTCTGTCAAATTGTAAAAAAAATGATGGTGTGAAAAAGAGCAATTAAAGATGGTTGAGAACAATACTGACTCTGTTGGACTCGTACATAACTTCAAAACCTATATCAGAATCTGCGTCACCTCGTCCAATATAATTGTGACAGCTGTGTACTCGTCCATAAGAATTTAGTATTGTACTCAACGATGTATAATAGCCTCAAGTTATAAATAACTATGACTACAAAATGATTTGTTTATATTGGGTTAATATAGACCCTATATGTAGTAAGTGTTAATTTCATAATTGTTGATTTCATGGGAAAAAAATACAGTTTAAATCATATAAGATAAAAAAATTTTCGTTTACTTTTGTTTTATTGATTTTAGTACAATTGTTTATCGATTTAACTGTCATTTAAGTTTCTTGTTTTATTAACAAGTTCAATTTAATTAAAAGTGTAATGTAAAATTTTAAGTATCATAAATATCTTAAACATGTTACTTTTTCCTTGTAAGAATAATGGTAGAAAATTTTCCCATTTGCCGTCGTATTCAAATGCCGTTATACCCTTAGTGTGGTTGTATAATGATACAGCCAAATCTTTTGGATTACGAAGCACATAAACAAATTTGCAACGGAGTACCCTTGCTTCTTTTGGTAGGCGACTGTAATGAACATGAGTGTTCAACACCTGTAACAATAGAAATGGAATATGCCATTATACTGCATGTTTGAATTGTATAATTTTATGTTTAAAAATGTTACAGGAATATTCTTTTTGTGCAGCTGATACTAAGTATTAAGCAGTTTCCGCATAATCAATGATATTAAGCTATTCATATTTATATATACTAAGAGTTTTTGGTTATTTACATGTATGCGTAAAGTACATATACCCGAGGTGATGGCAAATTTTCTAAAGCCTCCCAGGAAAAGGCCTCAATCATATTCTCGATTTTGCTTCTTTTTATTGTCTCGGCTTTCCCTTCAAACATCATGGAAATAATTTCCCATGTCCAGTGTGTACCTACAGTGACGATAAAATACACCCTGTAACACAACTTGAAAGTCACAAAACAATCCAATACTTCTACGAATGCCAAGGTTATAGAATGACATCAATATATATAATAATTGATATAGAAAACAAAGTGATATATCTATTTACAATTAAAAAAGTTTTTCATATTGTTAGAGTGAGTATATAGTATATTTTTCCACGTGAAATTTAAACACTTTGCATTGGTTCAATTGGAAGTTTGAAGTGTAGTACATTTTATATATCAAAATACATAAATACTTATATTGAATCTACTTTACCAAACACAATTCAAGGGAGAGTCATTATATTGATGATGATAGTACAAATATAGCTTTTAGTCATATTTTTGTTGAAACAATTCTTCTTTCCCATTTTATTCATTAATTTTGATTAGCCCAACTATGATTTTTTGGTGGTTCTATGTGGTTTGAACGTCGTTCATCCTCTTTGTAAAATGCTAGACCTTAGATAAATAATAAGATTAAAGTGACATTTACCTGACTTTACAGGTGCACATATAAATACGTCGTCTGCTCTACATTTGAAGTTTGCCATTTCTCTAATTTTCTTTGCCGTTTCTTGTGGTGCATTAAATGTACATGTCCAATAGCCGTCAGTATTGAGGTATGTTATACTGTGACCATCGCCATCCTCTTGTTTATATTCCGTCATTATTTCCTCTCAGTAGGTATACTTCTGCAGATATAAAGTAACTTCCAGATGTCCTTTCTTTCGATTTAAAATTATTTTCACTAACATTTACATGAGTGTTAAGATTTAGATGAACTTTAAATAATATGATTTGGTAAAGCGATAAAAATATAAACATAACTCGATATCACATTTTTACTATAAATGAAAAAATACCTGACTCGTACACACAGAAGAACATAAAGGTGATCTATATTCGCGTAATTTTTAAAGAGGGCTATCATACTGTGTCGTTACACTGATAAATACTTCAGTCGTCGTATCATGAAGTCGTTGAAAATTAAATGCTTGTATGAATACATTACGTTATCTTAAGAGAGAATGTAGGCCATTGTGCAGTCCTCTTGTATGTTTAGTGATAAATTATGATATGGTTGACGTAAACGTATTTCATTAAGTTTTTTTTAAAGGAGGAGATTTATAATGTCAATAATCTATGTGCCGAATCATTATATCACACAAATTATGTTACATATATATACGATTTGGTAACATCAAAACATTCTTACCATAAAATCTCTTCTTCTCCTGCTGTCCTTCCTCACTTTGTCAAGTTGATTAATTATTTTTGAAATGAGCTCAATCAAAATTAAGCAATTGACAGTTTGGGCTCCTTGACACTGTACGTTTTCTCACTTGTCTCAAGATTATTTGAAGTGTCCATATTAATAGCTTAGAAGTTATTCTTCGGAAAACAAATACACTAACGAAGGTTAAACATATAAAGTAAGTAAGGTAGAATTATCGTTCTTAATCTCATTTGTCTCATTCCCTGTATCCAGTTTTAATCAAATACCTTCGGAAACCTATGACGTTTATTAAATAGATAACTATTGCATGTTCGTGTACTTTGTATTTTTATATCTTTCATAATTCCACTTAATTTAACCTGAGACAATTGTCACTTAAACCAACGGTGTACGTAAGTTATTTCGTATTTTTTCTTGTTTCCTTGTTTTGAGTTAATCTTGTTTAACTTTGATTTACTAAATGGTAGATTATCTGTTAAACACTTCAGTCATGTCCATCAAATTGGTGGCAAAGTATTCTAGCATGCTTCAAAGTATTCCCCTATTACGCTGAATTAAGCTCGGGATACCTTTAACGATTCTCTTTTTATTTGCATATAAGAAAGGAAATAAATACGGTAATATTTTTTCTTGCGTTGTTTAATAATGCACTGTTTATCGTCCAAATGATCTATGGTCTTTCGAGGTTATGTTTCTCTTAACTTTTGAACGCGAATCAGGCATTATTACACAACAAAGCAATCCAAATTGGCATACATCTCCTTAATAAAAGAAAATGATATACGTGAGTATAGTCGTTAACTGCAAAATTTGGGAGTCAGTTTCAGAAGAAACATGAATGAAATACTAGATTTAATTAGCTAAATATGCTTAACAGATAAACCTGTATGAATAACAAAAGAAGTTTTTCTAAGACTATGAATTTTCTAAATATGAGAACACGATATCCATCCTCCTGTAAACATCTGCAGTTTGTCCATATAATCATCATGTTCCTTGTTATTTCAAGGACGTTTTCGGAAGTTTTCAAATAGACATTAAGGCATAAGTTAAACTAATCAATACAATATCTAAAATCTTCGCATGTTGTGAGTATGAAATGACAGAAATATTGTGAGTGAAAATAAGTTTGGTGTCACCGATCTCACATTTGAGTTATCAGAATTATTAACAAATATGAGGTGATTTCATAACTTATACACTTATACATACGTCTATAAAATGATGTGTTTGCTTTTGCATTATGTTTTCTCTTTTTTCACAATACATTGAAACATGCAATTGCATATATTTGTTTTCTGTTACAATGTTTAATTCCAATAAAGGGTCTTAAAGTTCTTTAATAAATATGTCATTAAATAGGAGCACAGGTTAATAGAAAAGAGGGGAAAAGGGGGGGATCTGCTCTTAACTCGTTCTTGAAATGTTGCAAATTTATTCAAACGTTCGAACGTTTCAGATTTCAAAAGGAATTAAACTACATTACCATGTCAGACAATAAGGTATTTTTTACCTTCATTGTGACTTATCTGTCCTATAATTAACCATGAAAGTTCAATGCAGGGGCAGATAACTAAACGGTGATCCCAAAATATGTTTTGGTAATAATTTTCTAACAACCTGCCAAGTTTAAAGAAATTCTAAAACATATTTTTGCCTGTATGTCTATGAAACTTTCCGAAAACGTATTTTACTTATTTTTTTCATCGAGCTAAATAAAATATATAAATAAATTTCAAGTACAAAGTGTATAAAATATAAACAAAAGTTTGAAAGTAAACGTTCGTATATTATATTGATTTCTATGAAATCATATGACATCAATTAAGTTATATTTCAGTATGTGAAATGAGTTAAGAACATTAAAAAGAATAACAAAGTCATCTGTTCAACTTAAAACGGATGTTTATATGCGGATGTTTCTAAAATCATAATGTACTATTTATTTTTTTTAATGTTGAATTCCGCGTAAGTCGGTGCAATACTTATAGGCAATTAAATTCTTCTTTAGCAATAAATACACAAAAACACACATTATTTATCAAGATGATTTACTTTAAATATTTTTTTTTTCGAAACAGATAATGCTAGCTTACTTTTTCACTACTCTTAACATAAATGATCCTTTAAACTATTATATCGACTTAACTAATATCGTAGTTGAAATAGGAGTAGATAAATTTAGACTGAATACAATATAACAATTAACGCATGATCGACTTTAGGCATATACCTACCATAATCTTTAAACATGAATTTGAGATTTAAAGAGTAGCTATAAAGAAAGAAGTTTTAAAATGATTTTAAGGATATGTTGTTTATTTGTCTTTATACAGACGGTTGGTAAGTGTTATTATCATTTAACCTTTTCGTTGCTAGTGAAACAATATAAGTTGCATTATAGCTTGATTGGCGTGCTTATTAAATAATATATATTCTCAAACCTAAAGAGGAAGTTTAAAAACTTGAATGAAAAATCGAATACACAGTATATTATTTTCGTAATAATTATATGACACTCAAAAGATACAACCTTGATATCATTTCTAAATGACTAAATAAATGGCATGCGAAATATTTATTGTGCAAGCAAATTAACGAAAGAGAAATCCTAAAAGTTAGTTAAAATAGTTAAAAGTCTAGTAAATGTATTAATATAAAGGCACATTATGCCTCAGAAAACCAATTTGTTATTTCTTCAGAACCATTTAACATGTGTTTAAAATCGTTTAGAAATGACTTCTAGCATGTTTGATGTGCGCAGTAATGTGTTATACAAGTCAAAATTTCAACATGTAGACAAAGAGTATTTTGAATTCTATATAAAGTACTTATTCACTATAATTATATCATTTGCTAATTCACTAAGAGACGCAATTAATAGTTTATCTGTAAGACAAATGAGTAATTGTTTGGTAACTGTAACAAAAGATACAAACAATAAAATATTTAAGATATGAAAATGATATCTGAGGCAAAGTGGACCTTTATTTTCAATTTGTTTCACATTGTTTGACACATATGTGTTTTGGGGTGTATGAAATGAATGCCGTTGTCCAGTTTTGTATACATAAGAATTTATAAGAAATTGTATAAAAATGTTAACTCCGAATAAAAATAAGGAAAATAGTCAATTACAATAAATGCTCATGCACCTAGATTTTTGCATTAAACAATTATAAACAAACATCTGTTGAATAATAAAAAATACCATACTCAATTACAATATATCATATATTCAATGTATGAATTTATCGGTTAACATTAATAAGTATGTGAAATGGCTTATGCGATATCGGTATATACCGTATGCCTCTGTAAATATCGCATATACCAGGTTTATTAATTCGTTTAAGTCTTCAAACCAATGAACATGATTGCCGTGAGAATATCTTTACGTTAAAATGTAAAACTACCGAAAAGGGTATATTTTGATGTTACAAATGAAATTCAATGCTTTTTTAACATAACTGAATAAACAAACGTACATTATAAGGAAATGTACATATCTGTTATTTATTATACATGTCTCATTATCATAAGATTATTTGTAATTTTTTCTTATTTTTAGACAGTATCATGTGCTATTTCTGCACGGATACGAGCAATTTAGATGGACGGAATCAATGCCAGACGTGGCATAGAACCATGCGACATTACCGAAGGAAGTATGAAAAGACAGGCTCGTACACAATAGATAAATATGTAAAGAACTGTTCAGAATATGGTGGTATTGACTCGCCGAAATACTGCATGGTTGCACAGATCGACGAAGGAGGTAAGTAAGACACAATTGTCATTTAGCTTGATCGTATTATTAAACATATGTGAGCATTACGAATAACATTGTTTGGTATAACACAACACATTTATGGGAATATTACGCCCTACATTTCACATTTACTGACCGACTTTATAAATGTTCAGAATTCGGTCGATCCGTAATAACTCCTACAATAAACAGTGTGTGTCAGCACACTAGAACATTATATAGAATGGCTTTTACAGCACGTATATTAAACTAAGGCGCAGCACATATATTTCGAAGTGTGATAAAACTTATCTATAGAGAAAATTGTACAATCCAGTCATATGAGTTTACAACATAGTTGATTCTGTCAACATGAAATAATTAAAGATTACCAAATAGCATGATATAAGTGCGGTTTGAAAGCGGTATCTTTGTTTTCTTCAACTTGAATGCCAGGTCGAGGCTTTGACATTTGACTGTAGCCTCGCCCAACCATACTGTACGTAAAGCATATCCGCTTTGCAGTCTGAGAAGCAGTATTTTTAGGTATTTCAGGGACTTCCTTTTGCGAGTGGGGAAAGGCGCCGACTTACCGTCGATAGTTTGAATCCGATTAGGGGCTTTATATTTTTCATGTTTAAAAGTTATTCCGATAGTTTTTGCAAGGTTGATGGCTATAATAAGAGGCCTTCAGGTGCCGGAAATTCTGCTTTAAGAGTAAAGAATGAGAAGAGATCAAATGACATTTGGTTTTGGTGTGACAATGTTTCCCATGTCATTTATCCTTAGTTTATAAAACAATGATTTGTATTCATTTGCTTACTATCACCATTACTTTTCATTACGTTCAGTCATAAATAAAAGTTTATTTTGCAGAGCATACACGGACATTTATAAGGGACTGCAGTGATGGTACTTCATTTTTCAGCGACGATGTTGACGTTTATCTACAAAACCAGAAAGTTAAACCCGACAATCAGACAAGTTGTGAAGCATTGACATCTCTTGGAATAACAGCCTGTGTAACTCTATGTGGTTATAATGAATTCGGTGTTGGAGATTTTTGTAACGGACCTACTGACATCTCTAAAGCGTCATCTTTATACAAGAATGCTGCATTGTTCTCAATACTTGCAGCTTTGATTTTCTTCAAATAGTATTTTGTTGACACGGCATTCTTTTCACATCATTTGATTTTAGGAATGAAGTAGGAGAAAGTTATAGAACCCGAATAAGCCAAGAAATATGCATATGTATCTAAAACAGTCTATTTGACAATTTGGAACATACACTATTTTGAGAAATGTTTCTATCACATTTTTCAATCATAAATCATTTGGATATAGAGAGCTTAATGTCAAACGATGCATTCATCAATTTCTAAACTTATATTGTTTCGTTTACATTTTATAGATAGATTACAATGTACGTATTGATACTTACAAATTTATAATAATGATTGAAGATAATTGTTCGTCTTTGCAGCGAACTATGTTAATAGATGAAAAGTCATGACGCTGCCAAGTGGTATATTTATATTTGTTTATTCTAATTCCGACCTGTTTACTTAAACTTTTTATTTCAAATGAAATACATTTACGCTTCAAATGTCTTTAATGGCAAATATTCGTATGAACCAACATAAAGACATTTTTAAAAGTGTAAACCTATTTTATGTAAAGATTTACTATGAATTGTTCCGTTAAACTATGTTTCATGTTCATGTGTCTTACAGGTGTATGCTATACTATCATATAAATATATAGGCGAACGTTTTTTTATGATCTTAGAATAGCATTTTCAGAAAATGTCGGGAAAATAAAATCGTCAATGTCACTTTAACAGTTTGCTTATTGCAAAGGTTAACTACTGTAGTATTCTATGAAGGTTAAATCTTATTTTTCATTTAATCTGCTTTTCAAAACACATGTCTCCATCTTATATGACTATGCAAAGATTTATTAATAGTAAAGAAATGACAGAATGTAGTTCAAATTTCCTAGGCTAGTTTAAAGGCATATGAATCGAAGTAATTGATCTCAGTGTACTCTAAATCCACCCAAACGCCACACCAACCCTACCCCGTTCTCTCTGCCCCAGCAATATTGTATTACAGTAAATGTGCCTGTGATTATATAATAATGTCGTTCAAATTTTAAATAAATTATACTGTACACATTTCATTGTACCCGGTAATCATATATATTGTGTAAGAACGATCTTATGGTATGGTTTCATTGACAGGTCTTTTGAGAATGTAAAGTTATATATTTGATGTTATTTGTACATTTTCTCTAGATAGTTTTGTTATTTTCATAATGCGTTATAAATATTCGTATATTGGCTTGTTAAATATAAAAATCTACTCTAAATTCCATTAAAATTATTACATTTAGAGAACCTTTATTGTAGTAGGAACATGATATTATAATAGTAGTATACATATTTAATGTTGAGTATACATGTCTTGATATAAACACAAAAATTTGACATGAAATTATATCTGTACACTATATATCTTTCTGTCATATTTTTCATTACATAACTTGTGTTTTTAGGTTATTTAATTTAAATCATACAATCGGTAAATTCCCCAACACATTTTCGATCCGCACATTAATACGCATGTGATTTTATGAGTAACTCCACCTGTCTTCAATTTTCATTTGTTGCTTTTTTATTACATTTCCTTTTTCGAGCAATATCTTAACAAAGGAATCTGCAATAATTCTGCTTTATTTGAACCATAGAATACTGATATACAGCAAATGTTGGTGAGAAGTGTCACTTTAATCTTTTAATAATCCTTCATTTTCTGTCTTTGCTTTTGGATATTTAAGGCTAATATCCTTGATGTCTTCTACAACAAATTCTTTTTTCAGGACCGCAATTTTAACTGTAATTTTCTCCAAGGTGACAGCGATGTCGGCAGACGCAATATATCTCAGAAAACTGAGCAGAAACAATATGTATCGTTAATAAGATGAGATGATAATGTTATAATTTGATTTTTTTATGAATTAATAATCTGAATGGAATAGTTGAAAACACATAACTTGTAAGACCTTTATAAATAAGCTAAAAAATAAGGCTCTGAAGGTAAACACTTAAACTTTAAGATAATTTTATTAAAATAAAATAAGTAAACTATATATATATATTAAGCGAATATGTCATATGGTTGAATTATTTGATAACACATTATACACATTAATGATATATACACTTACACTAACTAAACATACACTATTTATAATTGTACCTTATCTACATGATTATATACACATATACACATATTATATACATTAATATCAATTATACACTTATAACATTAATATTTGATATTCATAACTACATTATAATAAAGTATAATTTGAACACCAAAATAAAGTAAAAAAATGTAGATAGTTTATAATGTAGTGGTTGTTCATAGAAAGTGTAGTCGGACTTCCTTATGATTTTGTTCTTTACTGTATTTATATCGATTAACCACCTCTCTGTCGATTAAAAATCTATAACCAATCATTATCGGGTAATCGATATCCGCCATATTTTGAATATACATGTAAACAGTCATTTATGCTTTAAAACTATAATCATCCTTTTTGTAGATATATTAATAAATAACTTATTTGTCTTATTTGTATTTGTGTATGGTGTTTCCATTTATCTGAATTTGTATTGTTGATTGTTTGTATGTTCCGTGTCGTATTATTGTTTATGTATGTCATTACAGGACCATATTTACCATGTAAGTATAAGCAGATTCTGTCGAACCAACCCGGTCATTTTCTTTTCAGTAACCCATTGAGTACGCCGACGACAAATACTAAACTGATAACAAAATTTACAGTCTACTACAGCATAAACATTTTCAATTTGTATAGTTCCTGTTTTATTGAGATGAAAGCGCCCAAATACAATATGTTAATCTATATGTTGGAAATGTGTAAGCATGGAAATGGTTAACATGACATTGTACATATCGGAGTTTAAAAAATAATACATATACTATTAAAAGATTATTTCGGCTTGACGACAATAACCAAAACGTATAAAACACCATACATTAAATAAAGAAATAGTTACCTTGTGTATAGTCTGGACGAATCACCATAGTTATACAACTAACAATCAATATAAATAAAAAGAATGTTTTCATGTTGACACTGGTAAGAGTCTGTATGTAAAATATTTACAAATACTGAACTTTTCTTATTTATGATTTCAAAACAGGATATTGCTGTTTCTTTCATCTATGTTTACCTTGCGTTTACAATAGTTACATTTCCTTATCAATTTGTTTTGTTTTTTCTTTATTGTCTTATAAATTATAACATCTTTTTCGTAAAAAAGTAAAGACATAAACAACAGGTAACGTCATACAACAATTGTTATTCATGTCAGTTATATACACTTAATGTCAATTGATCATTCATTTATAGCTCTAATCACTGTTTATTGGTACATTGGATGTGACAATAATATTATACCAAAGAATAAATAAAAAACAAAACAAAAAGTTAATACAAGTCCATAAAGGCAATACAAGACGGTTATAAATATGATAACTGTTTTCGATATCGTATACTTTGTATTCAAAATTGCTTTTAACATGAGTTAATATTTCTACGCGATATTTATTTATTACTTTATTAAAGTCTTATCAATGTACACAGTTAAAATACATAAAATTTAAATCTACAAGATTTACAAGAGACTAAAAGGTTGACTTATTATTTGCATGTAAAATTCTAAAAATCTAAAATAACCTTGCTAATTTAAACCCGAATTGTGAACATATGATCAAATAAATCTATTGAATTAAATTAAAATACTGGGGTAACAAAGTACCTTAACAATTCCATATATGATTTAATATTGTAGTTATATGTAAAAAATAGAAGATTATTAGCAAAGGTATGTTTGAGCTGAATTAATTTTGTTTATATTACAGTATTTTTCAAATAACTTGTGTTGACTGAAGATATTTGAAAGAGGAATCTGTAATACAGTATACAATTGTACGTTTACATGCAGGAAAAAAACCCAAATAAACTTTGGTATTGTGGTAGAAAAACAAGTCATTTTCATCTGATAGAATGATCTAATAGACCTATCAACGAAAAAACACCACACGAAAATTAGCGGCCAACGAATAATAATGATTTTGCAGTATACCATTCTGAATACACGCATATGTTAGTACAATGACTTGTGTCAATTAGGAAATTGTTTTCATTTTTTACATATTCTCGTATAACAACCAATAAATATTGCATTCGTGAAAAAATGCCAACGCATTTATACAGCACTAAATAGTAGCAATATAAGTATACTTATTTTCTTTTGTCTCGATACAATTGAATTTTGCCGTAATGATCTTTGCCATAATGCAGTTTTGTCTAAATAAAACCTGGTTCTATGTCATATTTCAGCATGTCAAATGAAAGACAGTAAGCAGATATGTGTAATACTCAGTTTGCTGTATAAAATCACCATTATGTCAATGGTGTGAATCATAATATTTTCATATTATACTTAAATCATTTCATTAATATTCCAGCAAACCAAACATCTGTCTTGATAGAGGTCATGACCTCAAAGTCAACTCCATTATCTTCAAACCGCTGATTTTTTTAAACAACTAAGCACAAGTGATCACCATTATGAAACAATGTGCAGAAGGCAATAATTTGGTTGCTACCCCTAAGGTCAAGGTAACACTGAAAGGTCAAGTGTTAATACGTCTACATTTCGTGTCCTCTCCATTATTTTTAAACCGCTGAAAAAACAAATGAAATAACTTGGCTGAAATGGTCACTATTAAGACATGATGTGCAGAACCCAACATCAAGGTTACCCCCCAAGGTCAAGGTTATATGTTCTCCATAACTTTTTGACTTTTTGGAAGATTTTAAATTACTTGGCACAAATAATTACTATCAGTAAACTATATGCTTATCATAGACATGGCACAACATCAAAGTCATGGTCTGTAAAACGTCAAGAAGTACACATTCATGTCTGCTGCGAAAGGGGTTTAAGCTGTCCTTTAGACAGCTTTGTTTTTTATTGAAGAAAAATGCAAAACATGTACATATGTATAAAAGACATACCAATCTGTGTTGTTTCATTTTCTTTATTTCACTATGGTTTGAAGGAAAGCTCTGGCGTCCTAGAGCAGGACCCAGAAGCTATAATTTAAATTATATTAATAATTATAGAGGTGCACAAGACAATGTTTTATGCTAATTATCTAACATCTATGCTAGCCCTTGTGTTGAAAAAAGAAGGTTTTAAAAAAAACTACTGAATACAATCAAGGAAGAGAGTGAAATAAGAATCCTTAAAGAAAGCCCAACGCGGCAAAATTGAAACTTTTGCAGGCTCGGTTTGATTGAGCCTGTTCATGGACGGTACTGTCAAGTGCAATCTACCGTCCACGCCCCCTAGCACCGGCTTTAGCAGAATTCAACATTTAACATGAACTGGTATAACCACATTTACCCTTGGGCGGGGACAATTTTTACCCGAATGCTATGACAAACAAGTCACTGCACGGAATCAAACTCTTTGAACAACTTGGAGCCCTTTACCCAATGAATAATCCTTCTAAGCTTGGTTGAAATCAAACGAGAATGGCGATAAGGATTGAAAAAGTTCTATCCTATTACACTTTTTTCAAACTAACGGAAAACACAATGAGCCAGGAATATTTCTTAATTTTTAAATTATATCTACGTATGTGATGATGATAATAATGGGAATTGTGTTTGTGATCAATCTCTCCTGATAAATTCCCATCAAGATGCTCTCAAATGTCTGGACCAGTTGAAACTCTATTGTTTGAGTAAAGACATGAGTGACTTGTCCCAGGATTTGCGAACTGAAGATGAAATGGAAAGACAGTCTGTGAAAATAAGATCTTCAAATAAGCAGTCAACTCTTGGTGCATTTTTTAAGTGAAGTTTATCTGGAAAAAGATGTCTAAAAAGTCTGAAAAGGATATTTATACTCCATAACAACAAAAAGGAAACTGACTTTATTATGTGAGATGTTTATGTGACACTTGTTATTTGGTCTGAGTCAGAATCATATAAGACATGTTTTATGCATTTATTATGTTACAAATTGACTGTTACAGTATTTGCTTTTGTTTAGAAATGATTCAATATGACTTGTAATGTCCAATGAAAGTTTCAGTAATGTTTAATAGTTAAAACTTGAAAATAAATAAAAGTGTATGCATTATAATAATACTCATTTGTAATAGGTTAACACAGAAATAAACATGTACAGTTCATGTTATTGCATGGTTTTCAGTTTGACCAAACTCATTAATGAGACCAACTCGCTATTAAGACCAGATTTGCAAAATCCATCCAGTGA